CGCAGAAGCGGCGCGTCTGAAAGCGGCGCCGAGCCCAAACAGCCGCCGCCGCCGCCGCCGCATTAACCACGGACACTGGTGGTGAACATTGGGAAACAAAAGAATCACACCCCGACAGTGCTCTATATAATGATGATGATGCATTGAAGCCGATTGGTCCACACCAGAGACGGCTTTCTTTAGAGCCTCGTCTCACCAACGGCGTTAGACCCAGAGGACAGCGCCAAAAGGCGAACAGCACCAAGAAAACCTCCTGGCGGACCCCGTGCAACTGCGTTGTCAGAGCGTGTCCGCCCAACCGATGGCGTCTACTACTAGTTCAACAGCCTGACGACTCTCTAAATCATTCTTGATATTAACATTTGTTGAATGTCACCCCGGCCTGAAATCCTGGCTCCGCCCCCTGGCTAAACTAACTAACTCACCGTTGGTTGTGTTTCTACGACGCCTTTTCTAACATTCTTTCTAACGTCTTCTTTCCTCGGTTGACGTTAAGCCACTTTCCCGACTTTCCATCGCACAGTGCCACCGAGAAGGAGTGTCCCAGGGCGCGTGATTTCCAATGATGATTTGAACGACACCTCTTTTTACCCTTTCTGCAAATAAAACAGCGGTTTTGTGAAGACGTTCAAAGACAAAACCAGGCGCATTTTGCAAAGGACTAAAGTTGCCGCATTAACCACGCACAGCACTTGTGGCAAAAAAAACATGCGAGCAAGCATGCTCCGATGATAATAATAACAACAACCGTGTAACGCATCGTCTTTGACAACTCATTGGCCTACACCAGACACAGCAACAGCAGCTTTCTTCATGGCCTAGTCTCACCACCACCAGTGGCGGAGACCACAGAACAACGCCAAAAGGCGAACGGCGCAAAGACAATGCCACGATCAGAGCGTTAATAATATCTCGGGGGGGGGGAGGGGGTGGGGGGCAGCTACGACACGAGACCTTTTTGGCCAGCATCAAAGTACGGAAAAATAAGAACCGGTTTTTTTTTTAATCGCTTCTGTTAAGACGTTCGAAAACGAAATGGAAACCTTTTTCAAGGAATCAATCTGCTGCATTAACCGCGCGCACACAGTGCTTGAGTTGAACATGCAAACACAAACACGCTCTGATGCTGGCAAATAAAAAAGGGTCCCCATGTTAAATTAATATTTAGGTAAATCCCGGGGTCCTACCTCGAGAATCAGAACCTTGTGTTTAGACTGCAGGAGAAATCCGATGAGCTATGAAGCTCTTTTGCACAGACGTCCAGCAGTAGGGGCAGGGGGGGGGGGTAAGAACGTTACAACAACGAGACAAAACACGATAGCAGAGGTAAGAAAATTACTTTAAAAAAAAACGAATAAAACTAAACTCAATTTTGATTTAAAGCTTCTTGGTTCTTTCGGTAAAGTCACCACGTAGAAGGGAAACAATAAAATAATATTTTTTAAAATTATTTTCGCAGAAGGGAAACGATAAAATAATATTTTTTTATCATTTTCCTAACTTTACCGAAAGAACCAAGAATATGAAAACTAAACTAGTTTAAAAAAAAAATATTACCACGTGCAGCCCACCGAGTTATATCGCTTCCATCGCAGGAGCGACTTCACCGTCGCAATACGAAGTGGCTTCACACGTGGAAATGTCGTGCAGCCAAATGCTTTCAACCACGAGAAGAGGATTTTCCTCCTTTTGTCTGGCAACAAAACAGCTGTGTTGAGACGTTAAGACACCAAACTGAAACCTCTCAACAAGGAATCACGTCTGCATCAACCACAATGCTTGCGGTCAGAGTGCAAACAAAAAAATAGCGCTCTGATAATCTACGTGGCATTGTCTTTGAAACTGATTGGTCCACACCAGAGACAGCTTTTCTTGTGAGCCTCGTCTCAAAACGGTGTTAAGAGACCAGAGGACGCTAAAAGGCGTGTGGACCAATCAATGGCAGGGAACGCATGTGCTCCCGATAACCGGGGAACGCATAAGCTCGCGATAACCATGAACGCATGTGCTCCCGATAACCGGGGAACGCATAAGCTCCCGATAACCGGGGAACGTATGAGCTCCCGATAACCGTGAATGCATAAGCTCCCGGTTATCGGGGAACGCATGAGCTCCCGATAACCGGGGAACGGATAAGCTCCCGATAACCGTGAACGCATGTGCTCCCGATAACCGTGAACGCATGAGCTCCCGGTTATCGGGGAACGCATGAGCTCCCGGTTATCGGGGAGCTCATGCGCTCCCGATAACCGGGAGCTCATGCGTTCCCTGCCACGGACGCCGACGCTGCTGCTGCTGCTGCTGGCCTACGCTCGCCAGGCTCTGCGAGAGAGGGAGATTGTTGATCTACACGAGCGCTCCCGCCGTTGATGTGCGGGGAGCGGGCGGGGGGGGGGCGACACGCCACGTGTGCACCAGAGGCCGTCGCGGCCCAGCCATTGCTTCCTTCCCCCTGGCCAAAAATTTGACCTGCAAATTACTCAATTGGGATCGTGCGGCAACAGCAGCGGCAGCATCGCCTCCCCCCCCACCCCCGCTCCACCCCCGCCTGGACGGGACCCGCTTGAAATAGGAGTCTGGAGACTCGGGCGAAGCTCTCCCGGCTAAACGAGCATGAGCGAGCCAAGAGTCACGGTCACGACGACGACGACAGCGGTAGTTAGTGACGATGGCGGCGGCGGCGGCGACGGTAAAGTCACCCGCCCGAGTTCCCGCACCGCTCGACACGCGCTCTGCCACCGCGGTCAGCCGGTCACTCCTGGCCGTGCCTGTCAAGCCACGATCGGGGGGGTGGCCCGGGGTGGGGAGAGAAGTGCGGGGGGCTGGGGGGCAAGGGGGTGACCCTGAAATAAGCCGGGCAGGGTGGGAGGGCCTCGACACGATGTGCCGACGTCGTTCCTTCTAAAGACGTCCGCACACCGCGTGCGTCTATCAGGTCGCGCAGGTCGGAGGCCAATCTCTCTCTCGCTCTCTCGCTCTCTCTCTCACTCTCTCGCTCTCTCACTCACTCACTCTCTCACTCTCTCTCACTCTCTCTCTCGCCCTCTCACTCTCTCGCTCTCACTCTCTCTCGCTTTCATTCTCTCGCTCTCTCTCGCACTCTCTCTCGTTCTCCTCGCTCTCTCTCGCTCGCTCACTCGCTCTCTCTCACTCTCTCTCACTCTCGCTCTCTCGCTCTCACTCTCTCTCTCTCGCTCTCTCGCTCTCTCTCTCACTCGCTCTCTCTCTCACTCGCTCTCTCTCTCGTTCTCTCGCTCTCTCTCTCGTTCTCTCTCGCTCTCTCTCTCATTCTCTCGCTCTCTCTCTCGCTCTCTCTCTTTCTCGCTCACTCTCTCTCTCTCTCTCGCTCTCTCATTCTCTCGCTCTCTCTCTCTCTCTCGCTCACTCTCTCTCTCTCGCTCACTCTCTCTCTCTCGCTCTCTCACTCTCTCGCTCTCTCGCCCACCGCGGCGCCGTTGCCACAGGGGCGACCGTAGCCGTCGCTCAATAGGCGCTCGCAAACAGCGGCTGCCCCCCTCCCCCCCGCCCGCCACGTGACGTGCCGGCCGGAGCACAAGCGCAAGGCCCGTACGCCGCTCCAGCACCGCGGCCGCCCGCCTTGCGTGCCGGTCCGTGCCGGTCCGTACCGGTCCGTACCGGTCCGTGCCGGTCCGTGCCGGTCCGTACCGGTCCGTGCCGGTCCGTGCCGGACGCTTCGGGCGATGATGCCATCCCCGTGACTTTCCGCGCGCGGTCAGGCGACTCAATTCGGTGAGAGCGACGTCGCAGAAGGCGTTGGCTTTCTCGACCCGCTGCTAGATGAAGGCCTAAACCAATCCCACACCCCCCCCCCCACCCCACCTCACCACCACCGCCGCATCACCGTCCCCACGCTGTGTGTCGGGCACGCGGGGGGGGGGGGGTTGTTTGTCCATACTTCACCTCGCCGGTGGTCAGTGGGGGGTGGTAGGAGCGTTGGGCTGTTGTGGGGCGGGGGGGGGGGCCCACGTTGGCCGTGGCCGGGAATTGAACTCGGGTTTGCCGGTTGACAATATCCCGGCGCGCCTAACCACGGCGCCACCGCTCCTCCTCCGTTGGCCGATGCGAACGGCGTTCAGCCCGGCGCTACTTCCACTGGATGGTGCGGACACAGAGAGACCCCTCCAGAGGTTATGTTTGTTTTGTTTGGCCTACTCTTCCGCGCTGGTCGAGACGCGTGGAAAAAAATAGAAGTTGGGCGCACCCCACACTCGACCCCACCAATGGGATCAGCCGCGGTGGTGGTGGGAGGCCGGTGGCGGTAGTGGCGGGAGCGATGATGGTGGTGTGGTTGTGGCGGTGGTGTGTTGGTGGGGTGGTGGTGTGGTTGTGGCGGTGATGGCAGTGGTGGTGGCAGTGGTGGTGTGCTTGTGGCGGTGGTGGCGATGGCGATGGTGTGGTTGTGGCAGTGGTGATAGCGGTGGTGGTGGCAGTGGTGATAGTGGTGTGGTTGTGGTGATGGTGTGGTTGTGGCGGTGGTGGCGATGGTAGTGGTGTGATTGTGGCGGTGGTGGTGTGGTGGTGATGGCGGTGGTGGTGGCAGTGGTGGTGGCAGTGGTGATAGTGGTGTGATTGTGGTGATGGTGTGGTCGTGGCGATGGTAGTGGTGTGATTGTGGCGGTGGTGGAGATGGTGGTGTGGTGGTGATGGCGGTGGTGATGGCAGTGGTGGTGGCAGTGGTGATAGTGGTGTGATTGTGGTGATGGTGTGGTTGCGGCGATGGCGGCGGCGGTGGCGGCGACGGTGTCGGCGGAACCCACTCACGCTTGCCAGGTGGACAGAGGCAGAGGGCGGAGCGGATTAGAGAACCCTCCTGCCCCCATTGTTTCAACCGCTGCGCCGGGGGACTGGAAAATCGAGCCGGTGACCTCGGCACCAGGAGCGGCTCAGCGCGACCCCACCACGGTGGCAGCACCCACCCACCTCCCCCGCGTCAGGACGGCTGGCACTACCCGCACGCGCGCGGGCTCACGCATCGGTACCTCGGCAGGGCTTCTTCCGAGTCCGCCTTGGGCTCAGCGCGACGGCAGCGGAGGGAGAGAGGGAGGGAGCGGGCGAGACGTGGAGGCGACGTCGGCACGACGTTGGAACCCTCCGCTTTGGCGACGCGGAGAGGGCGGCTGTGAAGTAGACGTGGGCCGGCATTGCACGAGCGGGTCATTGTTTTGGGTTTAAAAAAAAAAAAAACTTATTATAAACTATCTCATTTTAAATTTTGATTGAAAGCTTTCGTGACTGCAGTAATTCATATTCTTAGCTCTTTCGGTAAAGTCACGTTGAAGGGAAACAATGAAATAATAAAATATATATGAAGCAATAAAAATTCTCACGACGTTTCGACCATAACACAAACGGTCGGTGTTAGAAATGCACCGTTTAAAAATAAATAAATAGATACACCGTTTGAAAATAAATAAATTAATGCGGACCGACACGCCTGATGACGACCGTTTGTGTTATGGTCGAAACGTCGTGAGAATTTTTATTGGTTCATATATATTTTATTATTTTATTGTTTCCCTTCAACGTGACTTTACCGAAAGAGCTAAGAGTAAATCTTATTTTATTTGACCAGGTAAGGCCCCACTGAGCGACGTGGCTCTCTTTGTTCACAAGCGACCTGGCGGCCACAAGTGATAGCTCAACCGAGTGGCTTGTCGTCGTCATCATGGGGAAGTGTTTAACAGCCAAACGCTCTAAACGCGCGATTCTAAATGTGGAGGGGGAAAACCGGAGGAACCGGAGAAACATCCACGCGACCACAGGGAGAGGAACACCTCAAACTACAAATACACAGCAGCAGCAGGCGTCAGGGTCGGGATCGAACCCACGACCTCCTGTGTACCAGGCGAGGTAGTTAACATCTCCTAGCCACCGTGATGATGATGATGATGAGAGAGACACAAACTCCAAATATACAGCAGCAGCAGGCGTCAGGATCGGGATCGAACCCACGACCTCCTGCATACCAGGCGAGGTAGTTAACATCTCCTAGCCACCCTGATGATGATGATGAGAGACACACGAACTCCAAAATATACAGCAGCAGGCGTCAGGGTCGGAATCGAAAACCACGACCAGATCTTTTGTTGTCTTTAGAAGGCAAATCATCGACATCACAAATTAAGCCCGGGGACACGTGAAGTAACAACTTACTTTGTTTCACCACACCCTGTGTGTTTATAAACATCGTACATGTCTCTTAACTATTACCAAATGGGTGCAGGGCTGCAGTAATGATTAAGAACCACTGGGTGAAACCAACGGATTTCAGAGCAATGATTTCAAAAGCGGAGAACTGGACAACATGAAATCTTGATTTGAAGCTTTCGTGGCTGCAGGAATCCACACACCCATTGGTTATCTGGGTAAAGTCATCACGTAGGTATAAAATAAAATAAATCACGACGTTCCGGGCGCAACACAAGCGTCCATCGTCAGGTGGGAAAGCCTTGGTCTGCTGCTGATGCAGACTGTTTCAAAAAGGTTTGAAATGGGTGTAGCCCAAGGGTCGTAAATAAGTGGCCGGGGCTCGTGATGTTAATGTGAGACATTAGCGTGTAACTGTAAGATAGGAGGAGAGCGGCCTCCGACAAATATACAGCAGCAGCAGGCGTCAGGGTCGGGATCGAACCCACGACCTCCTGCACACCAGGCGAGGTAGTCAACATCTCCTAGCCACCGTGGTGATGATGATGATGAGAGACACAAACTCCAAATATACAACAGGCGTCAGGGTCAGGATCGAACCCACGACCTCCTGTACACCAGGCGAGGTAGTTAACATCTCCTAGCCACCGTGATGATGATGATGAGAGAGAGACACAAACTCCAAATATACAGCAGCAGCAGGCGTCAGGGTCAGGATCGAACCCACGACCTCCTGCATACCAGGCGAGGTAGTTAACATCTCCTAGCCACCGTGGGGTGTTATAGGCTGCCACTGGGCTGATACGTGATGCATGAATCCTTTTTGTCACGTATATTTTTAGTGATTCGATTACCTTTCCTGTACTTTGCACTTCCATCGTGTTTGTTGTATTGTTTGTTTGTTGTAGCGGTTGTTGTCAGAGTTAGAATATTGTAATTAGACATCGGCAGGAGGAGTCCGATGCCCTATACAGCGCCTTGTTACAGATGTTCAGTTACAGCGCCTTGTTACAGATGTTCAGTTTCACGCCTTGTTACAGATGTTCAGTTTCACGCCTTGTTACAGATGTTCAGTTATATACACACGTGTGCGTACATGCACACGTGTGTATGTACCGTATGTACACGTGCGTACATGCACACGCGTGTATGTACCGTATATACACGTGCGTACATGCACACGCGTGTATGTACCGTATATACACGTGCGTACATGCACACGCGTGTATGTACCGTATATACACGTGCGTACATGCACACGCGTGTATGTACCGTATATACACGTGCGTACAGGCACACGCGTGTATGTACCGTATATACACGTGCGTACATGCACACGCGTGTATGTACCGTATGTACACGTGCGTACATGCACACGCGTGTATGTACCGTATATACACACGTGTGCGTACATGCACACGTGTGTATGTACCGTATGTACACGTGTATGCACACACGTGTATATGCATCGTATATGTGTTTGCAAACACGTGTTACTTCATACATGTACACACACACGTGTTAATTTCAGCTGGAGCTGTCCGGGGCTGAGCTGCGGAAACCCCTCCCTCCCCTAGCCCCTCCCCCCACCAAGGGGAGGGGGAGTTGAGCAATCTTGCATTGTGCACGCACACACAGACACACACACACACTCATACTGTACAGGATGTGTGTACAGTACGGGTGTGTGTACACGGAGCAGTTGAGTAGCGGGTGGCAAGGGGGGGGGGGGCAAAAAGATGGGGTGAGAGATAAAGTTGGGGTGAGTGTGAGAGTTGGGGTGAGTGTGAGAGTTGGGGTGAGTGTTAGAGTTGGGGTGAGTGTGAGAGTTGGGGTGAGTGTGAGAGTTGGGGTGAGTGTGAGAGTTGGGGTGAGTGTGAGAGTTGGGGTGAGTGTTAGAGTTGGGGTGAGTGTTAGAGTTGGGGTGAGTGAGTGATAGAGTTGGGGTGAGTGTGAGAGTTGGGGTGAGTGTGAGAGTTGGGGTGAGTGATAGAGTTGGGGTGAGTGTGAGAGTTGGGGTGAGTGATAGAGTTGGGGTGAGTGTTAGAGTTGGGGTGAGTGTGAGAGTTGGGGTGAGTGATAGAGTTGGGGTGAGAGATAAAGTTGGGGTGAGTGTGAGAGTTGGGGTGAGTGTGAGAGTTGGGGTGAGTGTGAGAGTTGGGGTGAGTGATAGAGTTGGGGTGAGTGTTAGAGTTGGGGTGAGTGTGAGAGTTGGGGTGAGTGATAGAGTTGGGGTGAGAGATAGAGTTGGGGTGAGTGATAGAGTTGGGGTGAGAGATAGAGTTGGGGTGAGTGTGAGAGTTGGGGTGAGTGTGAGAGTTGGGGTGAGTGTGAGAGTTGGGGTGAGTGTGAGAGTTGGGGTGAGTGTGAGAGTTGGGGTGAGCGATAGAGTTGGGGTGAGTGTGAGATTTGGGGTGAGTGTGAGAGTTGGGGTGAGTGTGAGAGTTGGGGTGAGTGTGAGAGTTGGGGTGAGTGTTAGAGTTGGGGTGAGTGTTAGAGTTGGGGTGAGTGAGTGATAGAGTTGGGGTGAGTGTGAGAGTTGGGGTGAGTGTGAGAGTTGGGGTGAGTGATAGAGTTGGGGTGAGTGTGAGAGTTGGGGTGAGTGATAGAGTTGGGGTGAGTGTTAGAGTTGGGGTGAGTGTGAGAGTTGGGGTGAGTGATAGAGTTGGGGTGAGTGTGAGAGTTGGGGTGAGTGATAGAGTTGGGGTGAGTGTGAGAGTTGGGGTGAGTGTGATAGTTGGGGTGAGTGTGAGAGTTGGGGTGAGTGTGAGAGTTGGGGTGAGTGTGAGAGTTGGGGTGAGTGTGAGAGTTGGGGTGAGTGTGAGAGTTGGGGTGAGTGTGAGAGTTGGGGTGAGTGATAGAGTTGGGGGAGTGTTTTAGAGTTGGGGTGAGTGATAGAGTTGGGGTGAGTGTAAGAGTTGGGGTGAGTGTGAGGGTTGGGGTGAGTGTGAGAGTTGGGGTGACTGTGAGAGTTGGGGTGAGTGTGAGAGTTGGGGTGAGTGTGAGAGTTGGGGTGAGTGTGAGAGTTGGGGTGACTGTGAGAGTTGGGGTGAGTGTGAGAGTTGGGGTGAGTGTGAGAGTTGGGGTGAGTGTGAGAGTTGGGGTGAGTGTGAGAGTTGGGGTGAGTGTGAGAGTTGGGGTGAGTGTTAGAGTTGGGGTGAGTGATAGAGTTGGGGTGAGTGTGAGAGTTGGGGTGAGTGTTAGAGTTGGGGCAAGTGTGAGAGTTGGGGTGAGTGTGAGAGTTGGGGTGAGTGTTAGAGTTGGGGTGAGTGATAGAGTTGGGGTGAGTGTGGGAGTTGGGGTGAGTGTGAGAGTTGGGGTGAGAGATAGAGTTGGAGTGAGTGTGGGAGTTGGGGTGAGTGTTAGAGTTGGGGTGAGTGATAGAGTTGGGGTGAGTGTTAGAGTTGGGGTGAGCGATAGAGTTGGGGTGAGTGATAAGAGTTGGGGTGAGTGTGAGAGTTGGGGTGAGTGATAGAGTTGGGGTGAGTGATAGAGTTGGGGTGAGAGTGAGAGTTGGGGTGACTGTGAGGGTTGGGGTGAGTGTGAGAGTTGGGGTGAGTGTGAGAGTTGGGGTGAGTGTGAGAGTTGGGGTGAGTGTGAGAGTTGGGGTGAGTGTGAGAGTTGGGGTGAGAGTTGGGGTGAGTGTGAGAGTTGGGGTGAGTGTGAGAGTTGGGGTGAGTGTTAGAGTTGGGGTGAGTGATAGAGTTGGGGTGAGTGTGAGAGTTGGGGTGAGTGTGAGAGTTGGGGTGAGTGTTAGAGTTGGGGTGAGTGATAGAGTTGGGGTGAGTGTGAGAGTTGGGGTGAGTGTGAGAGTTGGGGTGAGCGATAGAGTTGGGGTGAGTGTGAGATTTGGGGTGAGTGTGAGAGTTGGGGTGAGTGTGAGAGTTGGGGTGAGTGTGAGAGTTGGGGTGAGTGTGAGAGTTGGGGTGAGCGATAGAGTTGGGGTGAGTGATAAGAGTTGGGGTGAGTGATAGAGTTGGGGTGAGTGTGAGGGTTGGGGTGAGTGTGAGAGTTGGGGTGACTGTGAGAGTTGGGGTGAGTGTGAGAGTTGGGGTGAGTGTGAGAGTTGGGGTGAGTGTGAGAGTTGGGGTGACTGTGAGAGTTGGGGTGAGTGTGAGAGTTGGGGTGAGTGTGAGAGTTGGGGTGAGTGTGAGAGTTGGGGTGAGTGTGAGAGTTGGGGTGAGTGTTAGAGTTGGGGTGAGTGATAGAGTTGGGGTGAGTGTGAGAGTTGGGGTGAGTGTGAGAGTTGGGGTGAGTGTTAGAGTTGGGGCAAGTGTGAGAGTTGGGGTGAGTGTGAGAGTTGGGGTGAGTGTTAGAGTTGGGGTGAGTGATAGAGTTGGGGTGAGTGTGGGAGTTGGGGTGAGTGTGAGAGTTGGGGTGAGAGAGAGAGTTGGAGTGAGTGTGGGAGTTGGGGTGAGTGTTAGAGTTGGGGTGAGTGATAGAGTTGGGGTGAGTGTTAGAGTTGGGGTGAGCGATAGAGTTGGGGTGAGTGATAAGAGTTGGGGTGAGTGTGAGAGTTGGGGTGAGTGATAGAGTTGGGGTGAGTGATAGAGTTGGGGTGAGAGTGAGAGTTGGGGTGAGTGTGAGAGTTGGGGTGAGTGTTAGAGTTGGGGTGAGTGATAGAGTTGGGGTGAGTGTTAGAGTTGGGGTGAGTGATAGAGTTGGGGTGAGAGATAGAGTTGGGGTGAGTGTGAGAGTTGGGGTGAGTGTTAGAGTTGGGGTGAGTGTGAGAGTTGGGGTGAGTGTGAGAGTTGGGGTGAGTGTTAGAGTTGGGGTGAGTGATAGAGTTGGGGTGAGTGTTAGAGTTGGGGTGAGTGATAGAGTTGGGGTGAGAGATAGAGTTGGGGTGAGTGTGAGAGTTGGGGTGAGTGTTAGAGTTGGGGTGAGTGTGAGAGTTGGGGTGAGTGTGAGAGTTGGGGTGAGTGATAGAGTTGGGGTGAGTGATAGAGTTGGGGTGAGTGATAGAGTTGGGGTGAGTGATAGAGTTGGGGTGAGCGTTAGAGTTGGGGTGAGTGTTAGAGTTGGGGTGAGTGTGAGAGTTGGGGTGAGTGTGAGAGTTGGGGTGAGTGTGAGAGTTGGGGTGAGTGTTAGAGTTGGGGTGAGCGTTAGAGTTGGGGTAAGTGTGAGAGTTGGGGTGAGTGTGAGAGTTGGGGTGAGTGATAGAGTTGGGGTGAGTGTGAGAGTTGGGGTGAGTGTGAGAGTTGGGGTGAGTGTTAGAGTTGGGGTGAGTGATAGAGTTGGGGTGAGTGAGTGATAGAGTTGGGGTGAGTGTGAGAGTTGGGGTGAGTGATAGAGTTGGGGTGAGTGAGTGATAGAGTTGGGGTGAGTGTTAGAGTTGGGGTGAGTGATAGAGTTGGGGTGAGTGTGAGAGTTGGGGTGAGTGTGAGAGTTGGGGTGAGTGATAGAGTTGGGGTGAGTGATAGAGTTGGGGTGAGTGATAGAGTTGGGGTGAGTGTGAGAGTTGGGGTGAGTGTTAGAGTTGGGGTGAGTGATAGAGTTGGGGTGAGTGATAGAGTTGGGGTGAGTGTTAGAGTTGGGGTGAGTGAGTGATAGAGTTGGGGTGAGTGTGAGAGTTGGGGTGAGTGTTAGAGTTGGGGTGAGTGTGAGAGTTGGGGTGAGTGTTAGAGTTGGGGTGAGTTATAGAGTTGGGGTGAGTGTTAGAGTTGGGGTGAGTGATAGAGTTGGGGTGAGAGATAGAGTTGGGGTGAGTGTGAGAGTTGGGGTGAGTGTTAGAGTTGGGGTGAGTGTGAGAGTTGGGGTGAGTGTGAGAGTTGGGGTGAGTGATAGAGTTGGGGTGAGTGATAGAGTTGGGGTGAGTGATAGAGTTGGGGTGAGTGTTAGAGTTGGGGTGAGTGATAGAGTTGGGGTGAGTGAGTGATAGAGTTGGGGTGAGTGTGAGAGTTGGGGTGAGTGTGAGAGTTGGGGTGAGTGTGAGAGTTGGGGTGAGTGTGAGAGTTGGGGTGAGTGATAGAGTTGGGGTGAGTGATAGAGTTGGGGTGAGTGTTAGAGTTGGGGGTGAGTGTGAGAGTTGGGGTGAGTGTTAGAGTTGGGGGTGAGTGTGAGAGTTGGGGTGAGTGATAGAGTTGTGGTGAGTGATAGAGTTGGGGTGAGTGATAGAGTTGGGGTGAGTGTGAGAGTTGGGGTGACTGATGGAGTTGGGGTGAGTGTTAGAGTTGGGGTGAGTGTGAGTGTTGGGGTGAGTGTTAGAGTTGGGGTGAGTGATAGAGTTGGGGTGAGTGATAGAGTTGGGGTGAGTGTGGGAGTTGGGGTGAGTGTTAGAGTTGGGGTGAGTGATAGAGTTGGGGTGAGTGATAGAGTTGGGGTGAGTGATAGAGTTGGGGTGAGTGTGAGAGTTGGGGTGAGTGTGAGAGTTGGGGTGAGTGATAGAGTTGGGGTGAGTGATAGAGTTGGGGTGAGTGATAGAGTTGGGGTGAGTGTTAGAGTTGGGGTGAGTGTTAGAGTTGGGGTGAGTGAGTGATAGAGTTGGGGTGAGTGTGAGAGTTGGGGTGAGTGTTAGAGTTGGGGTGAGTTTGAGAGTTGGGGTGAGTGAGTGATAGAGTTGGGGTGAGTGTTAGAGTTGGGGTGAGTGTGAGAGTTGGGGTGAGTGATAGAGTTGGGGTGAGTGATAGAGTTGGGGTGAGTGTGAGAGTTGGGGTGAGTGTGAGAGTTGGGGTGAGTGATAGAGTTGTGGTGAGTGTTAGAGTTGGTGCTATGGGGGTCTCAGTATATCATTTCGAGAGGCTCACTGCGGGGAGCGTCCTTTAAATTCCAGATTCGCTTCCCACTCAAAACCTTGCCGTGCGTTTTAACGACTCGAGAGACACACACAGAGGCACAATCATACAGACACAGAGTAACATAGACGCACAAAGATGATACTCGCAGACACACACAGACAAACACACCGGAGACACACAGACACACAGACACACATACAGATAGACACAGAGACACACAGGAGACACACGTACACACGTACACACACAGTACACACACAAAGTACACACACACACGCAGAGGAGACTCACACAGACTCACAAAAGATCCCCCATATAGCCTTAACAGACTGTAAGTGCTGTTAGCGAGCACCTATGAAGGCCGGAACGGTACACGAGGGGGTGTGGTGGCCAGCACCACGCCCGACCGCCTTTGTCTCCCTAGTGGCGATGTTTACACACCGCACCAGGTACTCATTTGAGGCTGAGTCGACCTAGGGGAGGCCTGGGACCGGTTCAGATAATCGTCACTGGTGTTGGCCGTGAGCGGGAATCGAACCCGGGTCGCCAGGTTCATAGCGCAGCGTAGCGCTAACCACTACACTATCGCTCCCCACACACACACATACAGACACACATACAGACACACACACACATACAGACAAAAGACAAAGACAAAGATCCCCCATATAGCCTTAACAGACTGTAGGGGCAAGTGCTGTTAGCGAGCACCTATGAAGGCCGGAACGGTACACGAGGGGGTGGGTGGCCAGCACCACGCCCGACCGCCTTTGTCTCCCTAGTGGCAATGTTTACACACCGCACCAGGTACTCATTTGAGGCTGAGTCGACCTAGGGGAGGCCCGGGACCGGTTCAGATAATCGTCACTGGTGTTGGCCGTGAGCGGGAATCGAACCCGGGTCGCCAGGTTCATAGCGCAGCGCGCTAACATACAGACACACACACACATACAGACACACACAGACACACACACAGAGACTCACACAGAGAGACTCACACAGACACACACACACAGAGAGACTCACACAGACACACACACACAGAGACTCACACAGACACACACACAGAGACTCACACAGAGAGACTCACACAGACACACACACAGACACACAGAGACTCACACAGACACACACACAGAGACTCACAGAGACTCACACAGACACACAGAGACTCACACAGACACACAGAGACTCACACAGACACACACAGAGAGACTCACACAGAGAGACTCACACAGACACACACAGACACACACACAGAGAGACTCACACAGACACACACACAGACACACAGAGACTCACACAGAGACTCAGACACTCACACAGACACACACGCAGACAAAGACACAGACTCATAGAGACTCACACAGACTCACACAGACACACACAGAGACACAGAGACTCACACAGACTCACGCACAGAGAGACTCACAGACACACACACAGAAAGACTCACACAGACACACAGAGACTCATACAGACACACAAAGACTCACACAGACACACACACAGACACACAGAGACTCACACAGACACACACACAGAGACTCACACACACACACACACCGAGACTCACACAGACACACACACAGAGACTCACACACACAGACACACAGAGACTTACACAGACACACACACAGAGACTCACACACACAAACTCACACAGACACACACACACAGAGACTCACACACACAGACACAGACTCACACAGACACAGACTCACACAGACACACACACAGAGACTCACACACACAGAGACTCACACACACAGACACACAGAGACTTACACAGACACACACACAGAGACTCACACACACACCGAGACTCACACAGACTCACACAGACACACACACACAGAGACTCACACACACAGACACACAGAGACTTACACAGACACACACACAGAGACTCACACACACAGACACAGAGACTCACACAGAGACACACACACAGAGACTCACACAGAGACACACACACAGAGACTCACACACACAGACACACAGAGACTCACACAGAGACACACACACAGACTTACACACACAGACACACAGAGACTCACACAGACACACAGAGACACAAATCGTGTAATCGCATCTCACCTTGTTCCAGCAGCAGCTGCTGCAGTTGCTGATAACTCGCGCAGTAGTCGCAGTGGTGGTAGTGGTGGTAGTAGCAGTGGTTGGTAGTAGTGGTGGTGGTAGTAGCAGTGGTGGTGGTAGTAGCAGTGGTGGTGGTAGTAGCAGTGGTGGTAGTGGTTGTAGTGGTAGTAGTAGTGGTGGTGGTAGTGGTAGTAGCAGTGGTGGTAGTTTTAGTGGTGGTGGTGGTGGCAGTGGTGGTGGTTTTAGTGGTTTTAGTGGTGGTAGTAGTGGTAGTTTTAGTGGTGGTGGTGGCAGTACCCCGCTCTGCTACTTAGCCAGCCACCATGTAACGGGTTGGGCACCCAGGCGCCGATCTCACAGTGACCACCACAACGCCTGCTGCTGCTGATGCTGCTGCTGGCGCTGCTGGTGGTGCTGCTGCTGGTGGTGGTGCTACTGGTGGTGCTGCTGCTGGTGGTGTTGGTGGCGGTGTTGGTGGTGGTGGTGCTGCTGGTGACGATGGTGGTGGTGAAGACGCGAGGTGTGGAGTGGCGGGGCGGGGAGAAGGCGCAGCAGCAACAGCCACGTGGAGCGCAGCGTGGGGTGTGTGTCTGTGTGTGTGTGTCTGTGTGTGTCTGTGTGTGTGTCAGTGTGTGTGTGTCTGTGTGTGTGTCAGTGTGTGTGTCTGTGTGTGTGTCTGTGTGTGTGTGTGTCTGTGTGTGTGTCTGTGTGTGTGTGTCTGTGTGTGTGTGTCTGTGTGTGTGTGTCTGTGTGTGTGTGTCTGTGTGTGTGTGTCAGTTTGTGTGTGTGTGTCTGTGTGTGTGTCAGAGTGTGTGTGTCAGTGTGTGTGTGTCTGTGTGTGTGTCAGTGTGTGTGTGTCTGTGTGTGTGTGTCTGTGTGTGTGTGTCAGTGTGTGTGTGTCTGTGTGTGTGTCAGTGTGTGTGTGTCAGTGTGTGTGTCAGTGTGTGTGTGTCTGTGTGTGTCAGGGTGTGTGTGTGTTTGTGTGTGTTTGTGGGGAGCGGTAGTGTAGTGGTTAGCGCTACGCTGCGCTATGAACCTGGCGACCCGGGTTCGATTCCCGCTCATGGCCAACACCGGTGACGATTATCTGAACCGGTCCCGAGCCTGCCCTAGGTCGACTCAGCCTCAAATGAGTACCTGGTGCGGTGTGTAAACATCGCCACAGGGGAGACAAAGGCGGTCGGGCGTGGTGCTGGCCACCCACCCCCTCGTGTGCCGTTCGGCCTTCATATGTGCTTGCTGACAGCACTTGCCCCTACAGTCTGTTCAGCCTACACGGGGGATCTTTGTCTTTGTGTGCGTGTGTCATCTGGACATATTCCCATCGGTGAGCTCCTCCGACGGGCAAGGCTGCGCTGGGTCACGTCGACCGGGTGGCCACGCAGCTTCTGTTGTGTGGGCATGGGCTGGGATAGAGAGAGAGAGAGACATTGATGAGGATGTGGGGCTGAGTGGACTCCTCAAGGTCGTGAAGAGGGCGGAGGAACGACAGCTCACAACAACGAGCGGAGCGCCGGGCGGATAAAACACAGCGATTTGGCACAATGGGGGGGTACAACAGCTGGTGGTACATCTACCGGTCATCTCAGTCGGCCAAGCCAAGGCACCTGCCGGGTCTGTCCTGAGACCTCCTCCTGCACCTAGCCTGGCACAGTAGGGGGTACAACAGCTGGTGGTGCATCTACCGGTCATCTCAGTCGGCCAAGCCAAGGCACCTGCCGGGTCTGTCCAGAGACCTCCTCCTGCACTTAGCCTGGCACAGTAGGGGTACAACAGCTGGTGGTGCATCTACCGGTGGTCATCTCAGTCAGCCAACCCATGGCACCTGCTGGGTCTGTCCCGAGACCTCCTCCTGCACCTAGCCTGGCACAGTAGGGGGTACACTGCTGGTGGTGCATCTACCGGTCATCTCAGTCAGCCAACCCATGGCACCTGCCAGGTCTGTCCAGAGACCTCCTCCTGCACCTAGCCTGGCACAGTAGGATGGTACAGCTGGTGGTACATCTACCGGTCATCTCAGTCGGTCAACCCAGGAGCCTCGACAGATGAGAGTCTGGATAGGTGAGAATCTTGCAGCGGCATTCTAATAATATATAATGATTCGAATTATATTTTTAATAACATTTTTATAACCTATTTTTTAATACTATATTTAACAAAAACTTATTTTTTTTACTAAAAATGTCATTAATATACTTACAAATTACTTAAAAAAATAGAAAGATTATTTTTTCATGACATTTTATCATTATTTTATTACTATTGTAGTGACACAGCGCCGACTGCTGTCCAGCAGCAGAAACGCTGCTGGACGCCGCTGAGCGTGCGTGCACAGTGTGTGTGTGTGTGCACGGTGTGTGCACGGTGTGTGTGTGCACGGTGTGTGTGTGTGTGTGCACGGTGTGTGTGTGTGCACGGTGTGTGTGTGTGTGCACGGTGTGTGTGTGTGTGTGCACGGTGTGTGTGTGTGCACGGTGTGTGTGTGTGTGTGTGCGCACGGTGTGTATGTGTGTGCACGGTGTGTGTGTGTGTGTGTGCACGGTGTGTGTGTGTGTGTGCACGGTGTGTGTGTGTGCACGGTGTGTGTGTGCACGGTGTGTGTGTGTGTGTGTGCACGGTGTGTGTGTGTGTGCACGGTGTGTGTGTGCACGGTGTGTGTGTGCACGGTGTGTGTGTGTGCGTGTGCACGGTGTGTGTGTGTGTGCACGGTGTGTGTGTGCACGGTGTGTGTGTGTGTGTGCACGGTGTGTGTGTGTGTGCACGGTGTGTGTGTGTGTGTGCACGGTGTGTGTGTGTGTGCACGGTGTGTGTGTGTGTGCACGGTGTGTGTGTGTGTGTGCACGGTGTGTGTGTGCACGGTGTGTGTGTGCACGGTGTGTGTGTGCACGGTGTGTGTGTGTGTGCACGGTGTGTGTGTGTGTGCACGGTGTGTGTGTGCACGGTGTGTGTGTGTACGGTGTGTGTGTGTGTGCACGGTGTGTGTGTGTGCACGGTGTGTGTGTGTGTGCACGGTGTGTGTGTGTGTGCACGGTGTGTGTGCATGTGTGTGTGTGTGCACGGTGTGTGTGTGTGTGCACGGTGTGTGTGTGTGCACGGTGTGTGTGTGTGCACGGTGTGTGTGTGTGTGCACGGTGTGTGTGTGCACGGTGTGTGTTTGTGCACGGTGTGTGTGTGTGTGTGCGTGCGTGTGTGTGCACGGTGTGTGTGTGCGTGTGTGTGCGCGCACGGTGAAGTGTGTGTGTGTGTGTGCACGGTGTGTGTGTGTGTGTGCGCGCACGGTGAAGTGTGCGCGTGCCGGGCAGGGCGGAGGAACTGGGGCAAGGGTCACGGAAGACCTCGTGGGGAAGCCCGTGGAACCCTCTGGAGGGTTCGGGAAGGGAGGCGCGGCCAGGGCGGAGCCAGGCCGCGTCGAGGGGAATAAAAGCAGCGGAGAGCCTGGAGAGCTCCGGGCTGCCGGTTCTGGGAGTGGACTCGACTCGTCGTCGCCTTCGCCGCCTTCGCCGCCTTCGCCGCCTTCACCCGATCGCTGCGCGGCTCGACAGCGGTCGGCTGTCTCGGTCGACGCCGTCGGTGCAACGCGGTTCGGGTCCTGTCTGGGCTGGGCCGTACGGCAACGGGAGGGAGCGGGAGGCGATCCTGTACGTGAACGGCCGAAGGGTGTTACAATAAAAGAAGATGCCTCCTGCGACTACCTTGTCTCCGACTTGTTGCTACGCCACGCTATTGTTAGAAAGAATATTTTTTTTTACGCAAACATTTTTCGTTTAAAAAAAGTTGCACCATAACTTTTTTTAAAATTCGAATATTGTTATCGCCTCTCACGTTGTGACGCTCCGTCGCTTGCTTCCGCCCCCGGTTAGGCCATTGAGTCCCCGCATATTCGGCAGCCGCCCCAAAGATCCCTCCTCACCTGGCGGCCCGTTTCGTCTTTGGGAGCCAGCCCCAAATGGTACCGGCGAGAAACGGCACGGCAAAATCACGGCAACGTCGCGGTGCTTCACATCGCAACGTCTAGCTGCGACGTCAACCCACACTTTCTAGCCCATGCTCTTGTACCGGGGAAATTGAGTTTTCAGCTCCATACGATGGCCTACAGCCGTGTCAATACGGGCACAAATAACTGTGTCTATTTGTTCGTGTGTTTCTCCCTTGTGATGGGACTTTGTAGGATGAACGTTGAGATTTATAAGGGGCACGGGGTGACCCGTAAGGTTCTGAATTGGTCTCGAATTAGGTTAGAGGGCACTGATAAGAGGTTGACAGGTATGAGCACTACTACCACTGCACAGTTTGTAATCGCACGACAACCCATTTAAAACTAAAAATAATGATTGCCCATTGGCCCAATACCAAGTGCACTGTGTGTGTGTGTGGTTTAGCTCGGGTGGGGAAAGCGGTAGGACCCAGAGGACATCCACACAGACCAGGGGGTTAGGAGGACATACAAACACACAAACGCCACACAAACACGCACAGAAAGGTGCCGCAGTCAGGAATCGAACCCAAGTCACCCATTTCTCGCCGCGTCACAGGCTTTAACCACTGCGCCACACGCTGCAAGATATCAATGATAAACGTCAATTGAAGATTGCCACGATCTTATAAATCTTACCCTTTGGTTCTTTCGGTAAAGTCACGTAGAAAGAAAATAAATTAAATCATAGAACACGACGTTTCGATTGCAACGCAAGCAACCGTCACCAGGTAGAACTAAATTTGAGAGAGACGAAACTTATTCCTCCAGTTCCCAGAACCAGTATCGCAACATTGCGTGATTTTCTAATTCTGGCAACTCGACGGATTAGGCAAATGCAGCCCACGGCTGCGTCTTAAGCCACCGCTCGTGCCAACACGCGTGCCAACACGCGTGCATTCTCAATGTTTTGAACATAATCGCGAAGCTAACTTTGAGGAGATGTTAACTAGCTCGCCTGGTATGCGGGAGTCCGTGGGTACTGTTCTGACCCTGACGCCTTGAGCTGTATATTTGGAGTTTGCGGTGTGTCTCTCTCTCTCTGTCTCTCCCCGCGGTTTTCCCCTCCACATTTAGAAACAGCATCACCACGCGTTAAGAGTATGTGGCCGCTGCT